ACAAACAGAACTACTCCTCTGATCATGTTGAAACGCTTATTGAGAAACACTTTTCAAAAACTCGCTGAATCCAGTGAAGAGGAGTTCTTTTATGAAGCAAGAGTCAGAACAAAACTTTTTAATGCCAGCCACTGAGATAAAGATGATGTAAACCTGCATCAAGATGACAACTGGATTAGCTCAATTTGTTGAGATCATGGCTTTGTCAAGCCATGATCTCATTCAATCAAACTGTTTTTTCTTCCACACTTCTCTTATAAATATCAAAGCAGTTTTACGAAGTTGTCAAGAGTGCAGTGTCATAAAAAAATCTCTTAAAAGTAATAAGTGATGGTAGTTTGATAAAAGGGATGATTCTTTCAGTGGCAGATTTAAGCGACGATGATGCAATTACAATCGTTTCAATTTCGGCTCTTAAGGTAGAACGCTCTACTTCTCATTTAGACATTTATTTGTTTTAAATAGGATTACAGGAAGTTATAACAGGTGCATTTTGGTTCTGTAGTGCTATACTGTGTTATCTGTCACTGATTTGCTTTTCAACCATTTCACGCGTGGACAAATTGTGTGTTACCTCATTGACACCAAACTTTAAAGATGTGTTACAGCTGTTTTGCTGAACACGTTTGAAAATTGTACTATCCATGGAATCTGCTTAACCGTTGTTTTTCGACTTGCAATTAAAGACATTGGAAATGAAATTAATGACTTCTTGAAATCTATGGAAAATTCAGTTATTCAGTACATTGTCTTTGATTTTCGTTCAGTTAAACCTGGTTTTATTAAACATGTTATACTGGTGTGACTAGGATATGTGATTCTTTTTTTATCGGATATTATAGCACCAAAATGTTTCGGGTTAACCCAGTACTGCACATCATAGCTAGACGATTAGCAGAAGTGAGATATACAGAGATATTTCTCTTCCATCGGGTCGTTTGAAGAGTCCAGAGACCTTAAAGTGATGTGCTCGTATACCAATGTGCTGCTAAAGGAGATATTTCAAACTCTTCGTCTTATTTTTACAAAGTGCGACTTAAACTTTTATCATTGAACTCGACCACACCGTTTTTAGTAACAATGATTGCCAATTACTTGCCGAAAGCGAAATGAATATTGTTGATTAATCCTCGAGATAAAT